TGTGTCCCCACCTACAAATACTGCAGTGTGCAGAGTAGGGTGAGGATTGAATGAGATGCCTATGGCTCTAGCAAGGAAACCACCACTGTTAACTTCCTTTAAGTGTGTCTTAGAAAGAGCACCCCCACGCCCATTTTGTGTGGACGGTGGGGTGAGGAGAAGGGGGGGTACTGAGAGGTCCCGTCTCGGTTCATATTTTGTCAACAGCCACATCCTGTGCTCTCTGTCACCAAGTGTGGCTATGACAAAGGTTCTCCGCCTCTGAAGGCACCTGCAGGTGGTGCACTATGCTTCACAGTGATCTCCTCACTAAGATCCCCAGAGTCTGCCTTGCCTCAGTGAGCCTCATAAACATGAAGGCTAAAGGTCACATGAAGTCACCACCCACAACCAAGAAAGGAGACTAGCCAGCAATGTAATACTGACCTATAAGAAGCCCAGTATATACTGTCAAATTAAAAACATAAATAAAAGTACAAAACAATTTGGAGTGCAAGCTCAGTAAAATTGATGTTGGCCCCATCACTGTACATGTGCAGGGTGTGCAGCCCCTTGTGGGGGCTGCAGAGGCGATAAATGCAATTTAGAGCATCAACCCTTCATCTCTAGCCAGCTGACCTAGGGGGCTCATGCCCTGGGGGCTAACATTAAGCATACTGTACTAATGGCCTTCCTTTAAAAATAAAACCAAAGAATCTGGGGGAAGTAACTGTGGTAGGAAGGGAAAGGGACGAGCCCTGGTCTGCCTCCTGGTACTATCACAGGGAAACTTTTGCCCACATTGGGTAGCCAGGAGGTTCAGCCTCCTCCAATCCATCATCTAGGGGAGATGCCGGGAGGCCACCAGAAAAGAAGCCACTGGCTGGGAATGCCCCCTCTTATGCTGTAGCCTCTAGTACTACAGTTCTCAACCTGTGGGTCGTGACCCACAGGAACTGTATTAAAGGGCTGCAGCATTGGGAAGGTTAAGAACCACTGCGCGGAGTGGGCAGGTATCTTAAGAGGTTAACCCATGGGTTCTTGGGGTCTGATCCTCATATAACCACTTTCCAACAGCAGATCCTGGACCTATATTTCTCACCTAGCTCAGCCTCAACTTCCCTGACTACAAAATGGGTGACCTGCCCTCCCAGGATCAAAGGAGGAATGGGACCACTTCTGTGGAGACTATGGAGCAGGGGAAGGAGGATCACCCCTAGGCCAGGGCTTTAATTGAGCACCCTGGGGCATGAGACCCACAGGTACACTGGACCCCAATCCCCAAGGTCCATGGAATTCAGAGGACTTTTAGCCCCTCAGTCCCTATACCTCCAGCCCACAACACTCAAAGGACTTTCAACCCTACTCTTCCAGGCCCCAACAGGATCTCCTGTACTCTTCTCTGGATCTGGAAGCAAGCAAACATTTCCTCTGGGCTGAGCCTATTTTCCAGATAAGGAAACTGAGGCCCACAGGCCTGCCCAAGGCCCCTAGGTATATAGACTTCTGCATCTTCAGGATAATCCTTTTCATAGGACTCTCAAGAAACTCTGAGCCAGGATGGGGCAGTCAGGTAGTGCAGTGCCAGCAGCTATGGTGGCACCTCTAAATCATCAAGGCATGGTGGATGGGGCTGGTGGGCTCCATCAACCATGTCCCTAACCACTACACATCTAAGTCCCACTCATACAGAGAGAAGCCCTGAGTCCCAGACTAAAGAGCCACAGCCGCCCCTCACTGATAGCCCCCCAACCTGAAGTCCCAGGGCAGCCACCTCTCACTAACTCCTGACAGCTTCTCCCCACACTTGATGACTGACAGACCCACATTCCCTCCCCTGTTTAAAACCCTCATGAACTTCCAATTGCCCTGGATGCCTCTGAAGGGGATGCCCCTCACTGTCCTTCAGGACACCCCACATTCTCTAAAGCTAGAGGCAGAGGCCCTGCCTGCCCACAGGACCCTTGGGGATACTGGACGCTGCATGTTCTCCAACTCTTCTCTGGAACATTTCTTATTTGGTACCCTTTAGACCCCTTTTTCCACTACATGCAAGTAAATGAGAAGGATGACAATAGGAAATGGGTTTGATGCGAACAAAATACAAAATAAAAACACAAGGGGCTTGGCTTGGCCCAGCCCAGCCCAGCCCAGCCCCATGGTTCAGTGGCTGGTAGATGCCATGTGGCTTTCAGCCCACCTGCAACAGCTAAACCCTCTCTCTCCCTGGCCCACACCTACTGAGAGCTGCAGGCCTGACTTGAGTGGGTCCACATCCTCCCAGACCACACCTCCCCCACCCCTGCAGCCCTCTGGGAGTCTGAGAACAATCCTTGCTTGTTAATCTTTTATCTAGAACCTTGGACCACAGGCCAGCCCCTCTGTCCTCCTTTCTGGCACCACACGGCCATTACACCCTGACCTTGTTCGCTGTGGGACAAGGTAAATAAGTTCCCTTTTATGCTGGGGCTGTGGCTGAGGGTAGTAGGAGGGAAAGAAGCAGCCTCACTAGACTTGGTGCCGAACCTTATCCCTGCCTGCCAGTGAATCTCTGTGACCTTTCTCTTAGTCTCAGTTTCCCTAAATGTGAAATGGGAAATCTCAGGAGGGATTTCTCAGAGAGTTCAAAGGGATGATGTGTACACGTGAAGGTGGTCTGAGAGAGAGCAAGTTTCCCAAGACCCTGGCATCCAACCCTGGCTGTATCTCCAAGTAAGTCACCTGCCCCTCTGAGCCCACCTCCACATAGAGGGTGGGCACAGGGTCCAGAGCAGCTATAAGCTTGAGTGTCCCAGACTGAGCAGCAGGTCACCCTCACACTGTGGAATGCACACTGTGGAATGCACACTGTCCTCGAGAACAGTAGTGGTTAATTAATTTCTAAGGAAAAGTGTGTCCCCTAAATCCTTGGCAGGGAAAACTGAGCATCTAGGAAGCGTGCCTCTTATCCAGCAGCTCTGCCAGCACCCTAGCAAGAGGCAACCAGGCATCAAGGGGCACATAAGCCTCCCTTTGATTCACATGAGTTCTCACTGGGCCTCAGTTTCTCCTCTATAAAATGGGCACAGCACAGCTATGAGGCAGGGCTTCAGGGGTGAAGCCAAGAAGATGCCCATAGAGCTTGCCTTCAACTAGCTGTCCAGACTCCTGCTATCTCCCTTTCCAGGCCCTTCCTTCAAGGTCCCTTCTAGGGGTGTTACGGGGAGGGGGTCACCTCCAGCCACTAGAACCCTGCGTTCCTGGACAATCTCCCAGATCAGGGAGTGCTGGAGCTGCCCTGGGAGCAGGGCCAGGGACCGGCCATGCACCAAACTTTACAAACTCCTGCTCTGAGTCACCCTCCCCAACCCCAGCCCCTCACTTGGCCACACATGGGAGAGAAGAAAAGACTCTTGGGATGCTAAGTCCACTCTTCATTTCTATTCTAGAAAGACCAGTGGTAATAGCCCCATTTTTAATAAAATGTGGGAAAAACACACACTCTAGTGCTGTGTTTTAGACAGTGCCAAAATGTCTCCAGCCCCATCTTGCACTTTATAGCACAAGAGACTGAGGGCCCCATGGCAGGGGAGTGAAGAGTATAGATGACCACATTACCCCTGCAGCAGAACAAGGACCCTCCCTGGGCTCCACCTGGCCAGTCCACAGCCTGGAAGCAGATATAAGTGCTCCCTACTTAGCATATGGGGAAAGTGAGGCACAGAGGTGGAGAGACTCACACTATGTCAGAGGGGGGATTCTAAGCCCAAACTGGGAAGTGCTAGGGTCTGAGGGGCATGAGCTGCTGCTAGTCAGAGGCAGGGACAGAGGAACAAAAAGGAGCACAGAACTCTGGACTCTGAGACCACCCCCACCCCATCCTTTTGAGATTCCTAGCAAACAGCCTTTTGTATGCAAATATGCCAGAGCCTCCTGCCACTCCCTTGCCTTAGCTGACCTTGGGAAAGTCCAGCTACCTCTTCAAGAGGCCCTGGACACCCACTCCCCCAGGCTGTTGTGCCAGTAGAAGGGGGTCCCAGGATGTATCAGGCTCTGGGCAGGCCACCTTCAAACACAGAAGAAAAGTGCTCCTCACACCAGCACCAAATAAGGGACCCCCAGCAGTAAGCTGCCTGGGGAAGTAAAAATTAACCAAGCCCAGGAAGGCCAGGGACGAGTGTCAGCTGCCACATTGCTGAGGTATACACCTTTGCTGAGTGACTTAACTTCCTGGGCCCCAGTTTCCCATCTGTGAGAGAGAGCTAGTCTCCTGCCAGTTGCCCGGGGCCTCTCCACTCCAGGCCTCAGCTCCTTCTGTGCAAAGAGCCTAAACCCAGTGCTGGCCTGAAACACCCAGGCCCTACGAACCTAATCTTACTAGGCAGTTGTGACAGGAGTAAGCCTTTGGGACGTCTGAAATACAGGGTTCCAGTTTGGTTCTATTTCTAAAAGAGTTTGATTTTGGAAGCATTAACGGAGCAAAACTGGCATTTGACCCCAGTGCTTGCTCTGGGGTTCAATTAAAAGTGCCTTCAGGCAGCCCCTCCCCTCTTGCAGGTCAGTTTCTCCATCTGTAAAGTGGGGCCGCAGTGGCTACCACTGAACCCTGAAGCAGACGCCTCTCTCTGGCGTAGAGAGGGCGCCCAGCTCGCCCCTTCCGCCCCGAGGCTGAGTGCCTTACCAGGTGGGGCCAGTTCCCACTTCCCCAGGCATTGAAGAAGGCCGAGACTGGGCGCCCGGAGCCCGTGAGGCGTGACCCGCCACACGGTCCGCAGGAGTCCAGGACCGCGGCAGGGCGACCACCTGGGAAGGTGCGCAAAGTCCCTAGGCAGACGGCTACATGCCATAGCTTAGCTTCAGACCGTTCGCAGCTGGGCTTGGGCTTCGCTGGGGCGCCCGCTGGGCCGGCGGAGGGTTAGAAAGGTTAGTCCTCGGGACGGTCCGTCGCTGTGACCCCTATCTCCGGGGCCCCCTTCCCTTGGCTTCCCCGTCTGTGAAATGGGCACAGAACCCGTACGCGGCTCCGTCGCCCCAGCCCTCACCTGTGTGGTTGCCGGGGGCGGGCGTGGCGCCCCTTGTCCGCCCCCGGGGCCTCCCCTTGCCGCGGAGAGTCGCTGCCGCCCCGCGCATCCTCCGCGCTCCGTGGCGCTTGGCCGAGCCTAGTCCGGGCGCGGAGCGAAGCCGGCGGGAGGGGCGTGGCCTGCAGAGGCATGCCCTTCAAGGGGCGGGGTCGTGCACCGACCAGGCCCCGCCCACCCCTGGGCCGTGCTCCGGGGGCGGCTCCTGACCCAGGACCAAAACCCAAGAGAGCAAAGCCAGCCAGGTGAGAAGTGTCTGTCCTCCTGGGTCTTGCAGGCGCGGTTACTTCTGCCCCCACACCTTTCCCCTCCTGATCCTGACCTGGCCCCTCCTGCCTGGTTCTCACCTTCGGTTCTGGTGTGGTTTTCCATGTGCTTTCATGTATTTCTTTTCTAAGTGAAGTTTTGCGTTTTAGGGTCCACAATTCAGCAAGTACCAAAGGGTAAAGAGCAAAAACCCTTTGCCTTTGCCCCACCCCTCCAACACTCCCTGTCTCCCTCCCACCCGCTGTGGTGTCCTGTGTGGACCCAACTCTGTCCCATCTCACTGTGGGCCAGGCCTTCTGGGGCTACCTGAGGTGAGTGCCTTGACGGTAGGTTCTTACTGAGTTGCCCTTGGGTGGTGAGAGCAAGACTCAACCCCCTGGTATCTGGCTTTACAACCCACGCACACCTGGGGCCCTGCCTTCTCCAGGCTTGCCCTCTTCCAGCTTCAAGTGCAGCCGCCTCTGGGTGGGCCCCACTGGGCCAAGAGCTGAGACTAGTCCTTTTCTCTCCCTCTGACCCCACACAGTCCAGTGTAGCCCTCTGCCTAGGCAACCACCAAGGGGGGATGTAGTCTTAGGCTACAGACACCCTGGAGATAGGGGTGCTCTGGAAAGGCCTTCTGAGTAGGTGAGCTTTGAGCTGATATGTGCCTCTCCAGAGCTGGGGGAAGCATTCCTAACAGAGAGAATGGCAGGTACAAAGGCCCTGAGGTGGGAATGGGTTTGGTAGCTTGAGGGACAGTCAGAAGGGCAGCTTGAGGGACAGCCAGTATAGCTGGCTGAGGAAAGCTTCAGGGATCCTGGGGAGGTGGCCCAGGCAGGCAGAACTCTGGATGGCCTAGCAGGTGACAGTGAAGAGCATGGATGTTCTGATAGACCACAGAGTAGGGTTCTGGCAGGGAAGCCCCCTTCCCAACTCTACTTTCCAAGCTCCCCAAAAACTGAGGTTCAGTATGTGTAAGGGTATTCCCTTTCCCTGTCAGAGTTGGTTCTACCCCCATGATACCTAGTTCCCACTTTAATTGTGGGCCACATATGATGGCTTTCTTCAGTTTCCTTGATTCTGAATCATCATGCGTCTCCTGTGCCATGTAAGGAAGGGCATCCAAAGACCATCCAAAGGCCCACCCTGACAAAGCCCCCTCCAAACCACCTTCTGGGACCCCAGGATTCCCTGCTAGGTAAAGGGGAGCTGCTATGGACAGGGCTGGGAGGGAAGGTCTGGGGCAGCCCTCCTGTTGCTGGACGGAGCTGGGTAAAGGATGGAAAACGCAGTGCTGCCTGTGGCTCCCCACACCACCATGCTGGGCCCCAGGCATTCATGAGTCCAAAATGCTAAACCCCTGGCCATTCAGGGTATGTATGTTTCCTAGGGCTACGAAACAAAGTGCCATAGACTGGGTGCCTTAGAACAACCGGAATTTGTCTCACAGTTCAGGAGGCCAAATGTCTGTGATCAGGGTGTCTGCAGGGCTATGCTGCCTCCAGAGGGTCTATAGGAGTAACCTTTGCCTCTTCCAGCTTCTGGTAGTTCCTTGTCCTGTAGCAGTTTAATTGTGATATTCATACAGTGTTCTCTGGGTGTGTGTCTCTCTGTGTCCAAATCTTTTCTTACAAGGACACCAGTTGTGGCTCGGCACCTATAGCTCAACCAGCTAAGGAGCCAGCCACGTACACCTAAGGTGGCGGGTTCGAATCCCCAGCCCGGACCCGCCAAACAACAATGAGGCTGCAACCAAAAAATAGCCAGGCTTGTGGCAGGCGCCTGTGGTCCCAGCTGCTTGGGAGGCGGAGGCAGGAGACTCGCTTGAGCCCAAGAGTTGGAGGTTGCTGTGAGCTGTAATGCCACGGCACTCAACCTAGGGGGGACAGCTTGAGGCACTGTCTCAAAAAAAAAAAAAAAAGAAAAGGACACCAGTTGTATTAGATTCGGATCTTCCCTAACGTTTCATTTTAAGTTGATTAAGATCCTCTAAAGAGATTTGGTGCCTGTAGCTCAGCAGTTAGGGCACCAGCCACATACACCGAGGCAGGCAGGTTCAAACTTGACCTGGGCCTGCTAAACAACAATGACAACAAAAATAGCCGGGCATTGTGGCGGGAGCCTGTAGTCCAGTTGCTCAGGAGGCTGAGGCAAGAGAATCATTTAAGCCCAAGAATTAGAGGTTGTTGTGAGCTGTGACTCCACAGCACTCTACTGAGGTTGACATAGTGAGACTCTGTCTCAAAAAGAAAAAAAAATTCTCTAAAGAATCTATAAAGCCCTATAAACACCTTGTCTCCAAATAAGGTCACATTCTGACATACCAAGGGTTAGGATTTGTGTTCAAATCCAAACTGACAGGTGGTATCAAGGAGGCCAGAGCATGTTTTTCTGAGCCTATCCCTTGGTTTACACATTATGAATATTCAGGTATGTGGTACTGGGTCTCTGTTTGTACTGTTAGGGGACCAAAGGGGTAGCCTGAGGAGGTGTACATTCTCCAGGAAACTGTACACCTTTTTGTGCCTCAGAATAAACACCTGGGGCCAAAACCATCTTCAGAAGCAGCATAAGGGAGCCGGGGTTTATTCTGGAGGTGAACTCATATGCTATTTGAACCCTGATCTAGGCTCTCCCATCCATCTTTCCCAGTGGCTCCTAGAAAACCCAGCAATCCCAACCATATGCAGGGAGGGAAACTGAGGTACATGGAGGGAAGGCATCAGCTTACTAAGAACAACAGACTGCCTGGGCCACTCTCATCTCATAGTAGAAATAACTGCTCTCTGGCAGGCCTCCACGTCCCCAGGACAAGGTTGAGCAGCCTTGCACTGAGGCTTACTGTTCCCAGCTAAAGGATGGAGATGGGCCTGCCACTCTCCCAAGGCTAGTGAGAGACAGTGAGGTACTCAGGATGGAGCAGTGGCCTTCAAGCTAGACTGGCAAGATCCCCACCAGCATTTGGGTTTGGCCCACCTACCTGGCTCTCTTGGCTGCCTAAGCTCCCAGTTCCCAGACTCTCCTTGTCAGAAAGCAGACTGGGAATAGCTTGGGCTATGCCTGCCTGTCTCCTTATCCTCCAGGCCTCAGCCTCCTCCAGGGGGCCCTTCCTGATGCAGCACACTCCAGCAAAGCCATTCTGTATGGCCTGTCCACAAGGCCTGCTCAGCCTGTATCAGATCTGTGAAATGGAGGGGACATGGCTACCCTGGAGTAGGCAGGGGAGGATGGGAGGGACAGGTAGGCTGAGGGCACTGAAGGCCAGAAAAGGAAGCACAGTTTTGCACAGACATTTGAGGAGTTGGCGCAACCTCAGTCTCTCCCTGCCTCTGTTTGCAACTGAGAATACACAGTACACTGTCAGGAAATGTTTGCTGGATAGATGAACTGGTGGGAAAGGAACCAAAAAGGCAGAGGGATGTCTGTAAGCCCTGAGTCTCAGTGTTTCATTCTGCAAAATGGGCATCACATCTGCCACACATGCTGCCAGAGAGGGTCTGGCCTGGGGGTCTCCTCTTGCCTCAGGAATTAGCTGAGGTGCTGCTTTCCCAGGAAGCCTTCCTCACCCCCCTGATTGGCCTGACTCGGCATCCACGGACCCTGCTGGCCTGGGAGGAGACCCAAGCGCAGGCCTAGTGGTGGTGGCAGAGTTCGTGGCTGGCTATGTTTCCCTAAAATTGGATAATGATTGTGGAAATGTAAATCCTTTTTGTTTTGCTTTATTCTTGATTTTGTTTTGTACTCAATAGAGAAATGAAATTTTCCTCCTAAAAATCTCTCATAGTGAACCAAGCCCAGAAAGTTCTACTACAAAATAAGCCTCATGGACTTCCTTTCTTTTGAAAAAATAAATCACCTTTTAAAACTAAAAGCAATGGCTTGGCGCCTGTAGCTTAGCGATTAGGGCACTGGCCACATACACCAGGGCTGATGGGTTTGAACCCAGCCTGGGCCTGTCAAACAACAATGATAGTTGCAACAACAACAAAAATAGTGGGGTGGGGTGTTGTGGCAGGCACCTGTAGTCCCAGCTACTTAGGAGACTGAGGCAAGAGAATCGCTTGAGCCCAAGAGTTTGAGGTTGCTGTGAGCTGTGAAGCCACAGCACTCTACTGAGGGCAACTAAGTGTGACTCTGTCTAAAATACATAAATAAACAAATAAAAATAAAAGCAATAATTTACAAAAGTAACCTGAGCTATAGCTCCAATGATTTCATTATTTGGGGAGAAAACAATTTTCTCAAAAATGTTTTTTTAGGCCGTTTGGAGCCCTCAAGCACACCACTAACCCTCCACGCTAAAGCAAGGCAAGAGCCTCATCCCACTTTGCAGATAGACAAGGGAGGAGAGCAGCCTTGACCAGAGCTATCCTCCCGCTGAGGCCTGGGCTCTGACCACTGGACTGTCCTACCTGGCTGCAGCCTACACAGGGCCTACCTGGCTGCAGCCTACACAGGGAAATACATTAGCCCAGGTGACATGACATTGAGCCACCACCTTCAGGTTCAGAACTGATGACTGAGATACACACAGCAAGGCACCTGGAGGGTAGGAGGAATGACAGATTTATGGGACAGATACTACTGAGCACCTACTTTGTGCCAGGCCAGTTCAGGAGCTGGGGACACTGACAGGCACAGGAGGGACAAAGTTTGTCTGAGGGCTGCTCCCTGGATCCTCATCCTTTGCACTGAGGCCTTCACCTGGTCACTGCTGGAAGGTCAGATTATAGATGATTTTTTTTCCTACCTCCTGACTCTTCTCTGTATTTTCTGAATAACTGTATCTTTATTCTCTTAACT